CGTTGTCGCCCCCCTCATTTCCCCTCCGCCGCCTTCTCGTGGTTTTCCTGCTCCTCCCGCTCCTTTCACTTCAGTTCCTGCTGCTGCTGCTGCTGTTTGTTTTCGTCCTCCTCATTCCACATCCTCCTTTTCCTCCTGCTCATGCTCCTGCTCAACCGCCTCCTCCTCCTCCTCCTCCTCCTCCTCCTCCCCTCTCCTATGCACGCAGTTCCCTTTTTCCGATTGCGCCTAACACGATTGGTTATTGTTCCTGGAGTTCCAGGTCGGCTTTGACACGCGCTCGCGGATAGAGAACAACAACGGCACATTGGGAAGGAATGGGAGGGAGGGACAGGATGTCAGATGTGGCGCGAGCGTAGCCAGCTTGTCCTCCGCCCCTCGTCCTTCTCCTGCTCCCTCTTCACTCCCCGCTCCTCATATTCCTGCTCCTCTCTCCCCTTCTTCTGGTTATCATCCTGCTCCTGCTCCTGCTCCTCCTCCTCCTCCTCCTTCTCCTCCTCCTCCTCCTCCTCCTCCTCCTCTTCTCTCCTCGGCTTCGTGGGCAGAGGTTTTTGGAGCGTTTGGGTGGCCTCTGTGGGCCTACGGAGGCCTCTGGGTACATCTGGGGGGATGAGTAGGAGAAGCAGGAAGAAGAGGAGGAGGAGGATGTAGAAGGAGGGATGATGATGATGCTGATGCTGATGATGATGATGATGATGATGATGATGATGATGATGATGATGATCATCATCATCATCATGATCATGATCATGATCATGATCATGATCATGAGGAGGAGGAGGAGGAGGAGGAGGAGGAGAGGAGCAGAAAAAGAGGAGGAGGGTAGAAGGAGGAGAGGAGGGAGGAGGAGGGACGAGGAAGAGCATGGAGGAGGAGTGGAGAGGGGGAGGGATGATGAGGAGGAGGTGTCAGAGAGGGAGGGTGGAAGGAGGGAGGAGGGAGGTGGAAGAAGGGGGGCGGAGGGAGATGTGAGGGGCGAGAAGGGGGATGGGGAGGGGGAGGAGGGAGGAGGGAGGGCAGAGGGGGGGGCTCGAGAGACAGGCCCCTTCGGCCGAGGCCCCCTCGCCGAGCGCGGCCCGGAGGCCGGCCGGGCGCCCCGCCGCGAGCGCCGCGAGCCCGTGGCTCGCCGGCCAGTCGGGCGCCGCCCCAGCAGCGAGCGTGGCGGCTCGCGGCACAGCGCTCGCGGCCTGGGGCCTCCTTCCCTCCCTCCCTCCGTCCCCCCCTTCCCTCCCCTCCCCTCCCTCTCCCTCCCCTCCCCTCCCTCCCTCCCTCTGACCCCTCCCCCCCCCCTCCCTGTAAACCCCTCCCTCCCCCCTCCCTCCTTCTCGGCTGCCTCGACTCGCCCTCCCCTCCCTCCTCCCCCCCTCCCTCCTCCTCGGCTGCCTCGACTCCCCCCCCCCCCCCCCGACCTTTTCGGCGCCCTGGCGACCTCGGCAGGAGGCCGCAGAGCGTCCGCCGCTGCGCGCGCGCGGCGCGCGGGACGCGCGCGGGGCGCCGAGAAACGGCAGGAGGGCCCCGCCCTCCTGCCGCCCGCGGGCGGCGCGCACGTCCGCACCGCGCCCCCGCGGCCCGCGAGGCGGGGGGCGGCTCGCCGCCCGCCCCCGGCGAGGCGCGGGCTCGGGGCGCGGCCCGCTGGCGCCCGCCCCCCTGCGCGCCGCGGGCTCGCGCGCGCGCGCGCGGCGCGGGGGGGCCGGGCCGCACCCTGCGCGCCCCGCGCCCGGCGCTCCGTCGGGCGCGGCCCCGGGGCCAGTCGGGCGCCAAGGCGAAGCGCCAGAGGTCGGCGGCGAGCGGGGGGGGCCCAAGTGAGGAGGAGCAGGCCCCGAGTCCCCAGAAGGCCTGGGAGTCCCCCGGCCTTTTGAGCTCGAGCTTCTGACGCACCCCGCCCCCCCCCCCCCACGAAGGCACAGGAGACAGCGAGCTCGGGAGGCGCGAGGGCTCCTGAGAGGTTCCGCCGCCTTCTGAGAAGGCCTCTCTGTCTTTCTCTCTCTCTCTCTCTCTCATCTCGCTTCCCCCACCTCGCTCGCCGCCGAAGGCGCGATCCCGCGGACACGCGGCCGCGCGGACACACGCCCCCGCAGCGGGCGCGCCTGCCCGCGCAGGCTCGGCCGCGCCCGCGGCACCGCGCGCCGCTCGCGGCGAGGAGAGCCCCGCGCCCGCGCGCCCCGAGGGCCCACCCGCGGCCGAGCACCGCGAGCGCGCGCCCGCGAGCGCGCGCCGGGCGCGCACCGCGGCCCTCTCGTGGCCCACTGCCGCCATCCACGAGCGGCGGACGGATGTCTAGGCCTCCCAGGTCGGAGGATCGCTCCGCACCGCCGATGCATCGGCGATGCGGCTCCATGTGCGGTGTGCGTCGGGGCGCGTTCGTGCCGGAGTTCTCCCAATGGGGCCCCGGAGGCGTGGCTCGACGTGTGGTGCCATGGCGTTCCGGAGCTCCCGGATTGCCTGCTGGACGTCACCGTCCAGCACCCGGTGGCGGACCGCTAGCAACCAGCTGCGTCCCGGGCCGCAGCCAGCACGGCGCGGGCCGCGGAGCAGGCGAAGCACGACCGGTACCCGCCTGCACGCGGCCGCCGCGTCTGGCCAGCGACCTACGAGACTTTCGGTCGTCTCGGCGACCGTGCTACCCCCGCGGGCGCCTCCGGGGCAACAGCCTGAGACGCTGGCGCGCGCAGCTGGACGCGGCGCTTCTCCGCTGCGTCGCCGCGCAGCTGCTGGAGGCTCGGTGCGGCGCGCCGGGCCGCGCGCGGCGGCGGGCGCCGCCGGCGAACGGGCGTTTGCTGGAGGCGCGGGGCAGTTGAGCGAGGAGCAGGAGACCTGAGAGGCGGTAGCACGGGCGCGTCGAGGCTTCCCTGCTAGGGAACAGAATTGCCCGCAAACGTTGCGAGCAGGAGGGGCTGGGGCAGGAGGAGACATGAGCAGGAGGAGCTGGTCGACGCAGGAGGAGTATCACGCGGAGGAGGAGGAGGGGGAGGAGGATGACGAGGAGGAGGAGGAAGAGGAGGAGGAGGAGGAGGAGGAGGAGGAGGAGGAGGAGGAGAGAAGGAGGAGAGGAGCCAGAGGAGGAGGAGGAGAGAGGAGGAGGAGGAGCCCGAGGAGGAGCTGGAGGAGGAGCCGGAGGAGGAGGAGCCGGAGGAGGAGGAGACGGAGGAGGAGGAGGAGGAGGAGGAGGAGCCGGAGGAGCCGGAGGGGGAGGAAGGAAGCGCGGCCCTTGCCCGAGGACCGCGGACTTCCAGAGCCTGGACGCGCAGTACAACACCGCCTGGCTGGAGATCGAGGAGAAGCCGGTCGAGTCGATGGCCTGGGCGCACGCGCAGACCCTGTGGGCCGCGGGCGCGACCGCGCTGTACGCCTTCGACGTGTGGCGCATCGGGCATCTGCTGCCGCCCACCGGGCAGGACCGTCGGGCGGAGTCGTTGTTGCACAGCGCCCTTCCAACGGAGGAGGATGAAGAGGAGTGCCGTCGATGAGGATGAGGATGAGGGTGAGGGTGAGGATGATGATACTGATGATGATGATGATGATGATGATGATGATGATGATGATGATGATGACGATGATGCTGCCGATGATGATGAGGATGATGATGAGGAGGAGGAGGAGGATGAGGAGGAAGTGGCGGAGCAGGGGTGAGAAGAAGGAGGAAGAGGAAGAGGAGGAGGAGGAGGAGGAGCCAGGTAAAGAGCAGGAGGAGGAGGAGCAGGAGGAGGAGGAGGAGAAAGACGTTGCCCGACACGGGGCGTGCCCCCCCCCCCACCGCCTGCCCGGCCCTCCGCACAGAGGCGGGGGGTCGAGATGCCCGGACCAAGCTCGGCATCTCCGCGGCCGCCATCGTGAACGATGATTTCACGGGCCCCACTTTGGGACCAAGCCCTCCCCGTCCGAGGGCGCCCTTGCGCAAGGCTTGCGCCCGCCTCGGCTTCGGGGCAAGGCGCGGCTGCACAGTCAGCATCAGCGACAGGCCCGAGGTGGCCGCAGCCGTCTATACCAGCATCCCCATTGACCACAACGTACGGCAGGCACCACAGGAACGGCTCGACCCCAGCATCGGCGCCTGCCTTGCCGCAGCTCAACCCGGGGGCGCCCGAATTCGCCCCGCCCATGATCGGCATCGTCTGTCCCGCCAGGCCGCCCAACCACTGGTACGACTGCGACGAGCCTGGCTTTCTACACCTCCCGTCGCTCATCCCCGCCATCCCCGTCGACGCGGTCCACCAGGAGCAGGGCGAGGACGAGGACACGGTGCAGGTGGAGAGGGACGAGGAGGACACCGCGGTGGTGCACCTGCCAGTTCAGCGTGGCGAGCGGCGCGGCGGTGGCGGCCCCTAGCCCAAGGCAGCGGGCGACCCGAGGCGACGACCGGTCCTGGTGCGGAGGCCGCACCTCCGGCGCTAGGCGATCCGCTCCCTGGCCCGTTGGCCGTGGCGCCAACGGCCGAGAAGGTTTCGATAGAAGCGCCGGGGCCCCCAACGGTCCACATCAACTGGGGCAAGAGCATGGGCGCGTCCAGCGTCCAAGCCACGTTCTCCCTCTTCGGCCCGATCACCGTCATCCGAACAGTCGGCGACAGAGCGACGAGGGTCAGGCACACCAAAGCTCGGTCTGCCCGCGAGGCCGCGGACCACATGCATGGCAAAGAGCTGTGGAACGTGAGATACAGCTTGACTGTGACGGACACTCGTTGAGAGGCGCCGCCCACACTATTACCTCTCCTCGGCCCTCACCCCGCTCTTTACCTTCCTCGGTTTCCATCCCCCCAGGCTCCGCCGTCTCCGCGGCCGTCCCACGGGGGCCCCCTCTCCCTTATCACTCACCCGTGCCCCTGTCTAATTCTTGACGCTGCGCGTATCCCCACGTCTGCGCGTCTGGAGAAAGACGATCGGAGTCCGTAGAAGTCGGCGGCGCTGGCCTCCCACCAGGAGGGCAGGCGAGCAGGCCCCCCCCGCGGCGACTGAGGCGCCACCTCAGGGACTGCTAGGGAGGGAACAGAGAGAGGACCCAGAGCAGGCAGCACTGCTCCAGTGGGCCGCCCTACCCCCCTCCTCCTCCATTTCCCCTGTTACTGCGGCCTTTGGCTGCGCCTCCCCTCTTCCTCCTCCTCCTCCTCCTCCACCACAGAGGGGCCCTGCGCCGCCAGAGCGCAGGCCGGCAAGCACGGGGGTGGCTTTGGGCCGCATGTCTCCGCACGGACGCTGCAAACAGCAGCGTTCAGTCAAGCGGTGGCGAAGCGTCTGGGCTCGCCTATAGAAACAATGTTCTAAGGACCTTTTGTGTTCCCACGAAATGTTCTCAGAACATTTCTGGCTGGCACTGTCTAGGTTCAACGCCTCGGGTTCATGTTCAAGGAGCATTGTTTTCCTTCTTGGAGCTTTTTTGGGTTCTGCGAGCATTCCGTGGCAGGACTATAGGAATGTCGTGACGGTCGGTCCCTGCTCAATCTCCCGTCTCGGGGGTGGACAGAACCCCCAACATTGACACGTCGAGTAGTGAATTGTCCGTTTTCGGTTCTCGAGAGGGCGCGGTGGCCGTTATTTTCCAGGCTTGTGCCCGCCAGGTTTGGGCCTCAGGTCGTTTTCACTAAACCACGTTTTACTAAAGGGGGGTCTGGTCTGTTCGGGCCGGGCGAAAGGGGGGGACTGGGAAAGGGGGGGGGGGACGAAATTTGCCGCATGCAGCTGGTCTCGGTCTCACCGAGGGGCCCATTCCTCGATACATCGCCGCCTCCGGCGCAGGGAGGCGCCGGGAAAATCGGCTACGCGAGCGGATTCTCAACCCCCCCCTCTGCTATCCCCCCCTTTCGCCCGACCCGATCTGTCCTTCCCCGACCGTCTCTCCGCGCCTCCCCTCTGCTCCTTCGCCAGGTTCCGCCGTCTCGTGGGATCGGGGGGGTCGGGTGCGGACGGGGCCTCTCGGGGCGCCGCTCTCGGCCTGGGCGGGTGGTGGTGGGACGCAGGCATGGCGAAGAGTTCGCGAGCTCTCGTCGTAGTGCCGCGCTCCCCGCCTAGGCTTCCCGCTCTGTAAGAGGAAGGCCGAGAGGGCCTGGGCGGGAGGGAGGAGGGGCGGGCGCGGGCCCACCAGGACTCTCCCTGCGCATGTGTGTCGCATGGGCCCTTTCCCCAAATCCGTGCTTCGGTGCGGATCGTAAGCGCGCCTCGTCTCCGTCGTCGTCGTCGGCGTCGTCGGCGTCGTGGCGCGTGTTGCTCTGCTCGGGATTCTGTTTCCCTTATGCAGTGACCACCGCCACCACCATGTGGGAAGCAGGGATCGGGAGCGTCCCCTCACATCGGCCTCGTCTTCCTTCGCCGTCCACCCTCCGTTCGGACAGGACCGGACAGCCGTGGTCCGAACCGACACCGCCAGTAATCCGTTCGACCTCCAACGCGGCACCAAAACAGGGGAGCCCGCTGAGTTCGTTACTTTCCAACGCACTGCTTCAACACGTCTGAGCACCACGGATCTCAGATCGGCAAAGGCGGCGCAAAGGCGTCCAACTGGGTCACACTGACGGGACGACACTCACGAACCTCTGGTTCGCAGACGACATCCTGCTGACAAGCCAAACGTTACCCAATCTAAAAGGAATGCTCCCTGACCTCATCACATCAGCCAAGCATCACGGATTCGAGTTGCACCCAACGAAAACCAAAATCATGACCAACCAGCCTCGGCACAGCGACCGAACAGCCAACGTAGCTGAAATGGACATCGACATGTTGCCACGAACCAGCACCATCACCCACTTGGGCCAGACCATTACTTTCCAGGTCCATTACTTTCCGGATTCGAGCAGCATGGGTATCGTTCAGCAGCCACAAATAATTATTCACCAGCAAGCACGACCAACTGCGACACCGACTGCGACTGTACAGGGGCACCGTCATACCTACTATGATGTACGTTGCAGAAGCGTGGACTCTGACAGAGCCTCTCAAACAGCAGTTGCGTCGAACACAGCGAAGGATGGTCAGAATGATAATCGGAACACCAAGGAGACGCACGGTAGCGACACCGACACCACAACGCCATCCAGAGCGACACCAGCAGCACTGCCCCAAACGATTCCAGCGAGTCCGACGTTTGCAGCAACCCACCCGCCGACCAACCCAACACGCAAGACGGTATCAGCGACGACGACGGCATGCAACAGGACACTTATGCAGGACAGGGGCCGTCGAATTGTGGTCCGCACACGGAAAGCAGAAACATTGATGTTTCAGCATGGCGTATTTGATGTATTCCACATACACCGAAGAATGGCTTGGCGCTGGGCGAGCACTGTGGCTCACCACCCTTCGACACGCTGGACGCAGAGAGTGCTGAATTGAAGCCCAAATCTCAACACTCGGCAACAAGGGCGGCGACAACGTGGAGGTCAACAACAACGGTGGGAAGACGACATCTGGAAGTTGCTCCACAGCTTGGACGGGCACCAGTGCGACGACGACGCCGGGCAGGAGCAGATGCTAGCAGCGACCCAACCACGACAACATCAACACAACAATACAAACGACTCGCGGTGGCTATCGGCGGCCAGGCACACAGAGTGGTGATTATCACGTGAGCCCGCCTAAGTGCCACATGTTTGAGGCCACGGCCTCCACGCCATGCCCTAATTGGCACGGGCGGGCTCCCCAGTGGAGCGCGCACGACTCCGGCGCTCGCTTCGCTTCGCTTCACCCTCTGTTCAGAAGCGTCGCAACAGGAACAGCTGCAACAAAGAGCGGCTGTCACCGTGGCCGCCGCTAGAGGTGGTGGAGGGGGGGTTTTAGGTACACGGAGGGGGAGATGTACCCCGCTACCTTTTCAACCATGGGATCAAGCCAGGAGGAGTAGGAGAAGGAGAAGGAGAAGGAGGAGGAGGAGGAGGAGGAGGTGGAGGAGGAGGAGGAGAAGGAGGAGGAGGAGGAGGAGGGATCAAGGCTCGTGGCCTGGAAGCCCCCCTCAAAGCTCCCCTCCCCAGGGAGCTCTGGGGGGTTCTGTGGGGTTTCGGCGGGCCCTCCTCGCTCCCCTTTCCCGCCTTTCCTTGTGTTCCCCTCTTGGCCTCGTCTCCTTCGCCTCCAGGTAGCCCCTGTTCGACCACTCATGCCAGCAGTATACAGAATTCAGGAAGAGGAGGGAGGTGAGTGATAGGAGGAAGAGGAGGCGGAGGAGGAGGAGGAGAAGGAGTTGGAGGAGGAGGAAAAAGAGGAGAAAGAGGAGGAGGAAGAGAGAGGAGGAGGTGGTGGAGGATGAGGAGGATGATGATGAGGAGGAGGAGGAGGAGGAGGAGGAGAAGTGCATCTTGCCCCCCCTCCTCTCTATCTCTCTGTTTTTGTTGTTTCTCTCTCTCTCTCTCTTTTCCTCTCTCTCTCTGTCTCTCTCTCTCTCTCTCTCTCCTATAGGTGTTTGGAGCATCGCTCTTCCATGGCCAGGTTCGCCCGCAGGGTAGGGGATGCTGGCTGTTGGGTTCCATCTTCCTCCTCCTCCTTCCTTCCTCCTCCTCCTCTTCTTCGCTATCATCGCCAGCGCCTTCCGTGCACATTCGCCCGGCTCACTTGTCATCATTTCCCCCTTCGTCTTGCCGATGGCACTCGCAACTGTCCTTTCCCCAGCGCAGCCAGTCCGAGCTACGAAACTGCAGCAGCGGGAGCCCCGCGGGCCGGAACCAACAAAAAAGCGTTCTCCCCGGCTGCCGCACCCGGCAGACGCAGACGACGCCCGTCGGGCTCCTCCCTCCCCCCCCCCCGAACCGACGGCAGGCAGGCAGAGACTGGAGGAGAAGGCCAGAGGAGGAGGAGGAGGAGGAGGAGGAGGAGGAGGAGGAGAAGGAGAAGGCCGGAGGAGGAGGCTGCTCTCGGGCAGGGCTCGGGGCGGGCCACGTGGGCACCTCTCCCCCGAGGAAGGCCCGCACCCTCTGCCCTGCCTGCCCCCCTTGCTCGTTAAAGGCTTAACGACTTCTGCCGTCCTTCGACTCGCGCTGGAGCGGCCGCGAAGTGCTCGAACTTTCCCTGGAGATCTCTGGATTTACCTGGATTTACCCAGATTTATCTAGATTTACCTGGATTTACCTCGATTTATCTGCATTTACCTGGGTTTATCTGGCTCGATTCTCACAAGTCGATTGGCGAAAAGTCGACAAGCCCTTAGGGACTTGCGCGCATCGGGAGCGAGGAAGCAGGGCGGTACGCGTGCAGGAACCCACCACGGTGGTTTCGAGAGTGCGCACTGCGCGAGCGTTCGTAGCGCGCGGCTGGTCTCGCGGACGGGGGGCCGTGTCCACGTACGTGGCTGGGCGCGCACAGTCCATCCGGGCAGGAAGGCTGGGCGACCCTGCCAAGGCATCCTGGCTTCCTCGGTCCATCCTTGGCCACTTTCGTTGGCCGCGCCCCGCTCCAAGAAAGCTTCGAGATGGGCTTCCAAGGCCCTTGCATCCTTGTCGCGCATCCTTCCTGTGCGGGCCGACTGTACGTGGTTGGGCGCGCACGTCTCGTGTGGGCTCCCTCCGCTCAGGAGGCGGTCCTGGCCGGGCTCCTGTACCTGGGGCTCTACGCCTCCCGCTACCAGGACGTGCGGAGCCTGGACCGGCACTACCAGGCGAACCGCGCCGGAAGAGGGGGGGTCTCGACCTCGGGCAGGCCCAGGGCGAAGATCGACTGGACGGAAGAGTGGCCTTTCGCCCGAGTGACCAGGGGTGCGGGCCCAATGGGGTCACCAGATCGCTGAGCGCGAAGCGGTCGCGGCGGCCTGCGCGCTGGGTTTTGGCCCCTTCGCCCCCCCCTAAAGCCGCGCACCAAAGGCCAATCTGACCTAGGGTCCCTCTTACGTGTAGCCGGGAAGATTCGCTGGTCAAGAGCGCGCAGGAGAGCCCTCGGAGCGTCCTGTAGCGCTCTGAAATGGCCGCGGCTTCAGGCCCGCCAGTCATCAGAGATGCCCGATGTGCCTGGGTTCGAGCTTGCCATTCCCTTGCCGTCGTCTCGCGGTCGCGCGCAAACGTGCCGTGTCAACGGCCTGCGCATGCCATCAGGGCTCGACCTAAACAGTGTTTTGGCGATTTCGCGGACCGTTTTCGTTTTGGTTCCGTTTTGTAGCGAAGGCGGAACGAAGACAGAACGAGCGGCCACGAACACAAAGCAAAAGCAACAACCATCGTTCTGGTCAAGCCCTGTGGTGTGGTGTGCCGTGACAGCTGCCTGCGTATGCCATCGCGTGAAATCGCCGCTTTCTCGTGCGTAAGACTCCTTCCTGCCTCTGTGCCGCTCAGGTGAGCTTCTACGCCTCCTGCGGCTGGACCTTCTACGCCTTCGCGAGCCTGGTGCACGCGATGGCCTACAGTCCCGACGCCTCGCAGCACGTCCTGTCCCGCCCCGACGCAGACGCCTTCCATGGGGGAGCGGCCGCCATCTACTTGGGCAGTTGCGCGTACTTCTACGCCTACCACTGGGGGAGGCAGTGGCGGCATCTGGTAGAGAACCGCATCCGCCCGTACTTTGTGGTGGGCCTCGCCAGCTTGACATTTGCCCACGGTCTGACCGTCGGCCACATTCTGAAGTGTCTCGACGACCCAAACTGGTTCGGCACAGTCGCGCAAATCTACCCAGACGAGTGGCAATGGATGGCCGACACGCGATTGGTAGAGCTATACCTCACAGCGCTTGCACTGTTCCTCGTGATTTGCCACTTGCGCGGTGTGCTGACAGGCACCAAGAACGCGGCAGTTGTGTTTCTGGGTACAGTGATTGTCCCCACTGTGATGCTCTTCGGGGAGACATTCTTCATCAAGGCCTGCTCCTGGGAGCACTACTTCATGTGGGGTCCCAAGCATTGGTGAAGATCCCGCCGCCGAATGCCCTAAGTGCCTATGTCGTGGTGGCGGATGAGAAGCAACCGACCCTGAAGCAAGCGCGCTCCAGAGCCACCCATGTTTGGACTTGGCTCCAGCGTGCGCAACCAGGGTGTGGTTCCACCCTATCGCGAAGTGATGCGAATGGCCGCTGGCCTGTTGTGCAGCACTCTTTGTTCTCATTGTGCTGCCTACGAGCGAGGCCGGCGCTTCTCAGCAGGGGCGCGCTCTGCCTGCAAGGCCTGTGGGCCAGCGGCTGCGTCCAGACGCGTGGGGGTTCCGTCTTCGTGGTTCTGCGTCGGTGCTCCAGCGGGCAGTATCGGGTCGGTACGATCGACATCGGCATTCGGCGGCGAAACCCGAGCCAGTGGGCCATTGGATGGGGGGCGGGGATACGCGACTATACGTCAGAGTGACCTTTCGCCAGAGTGACCTTTGGTGCGGGCCCAATTGATTCCCCGGATCGCTGAACGCGAAGCGGTAGCAGCGGCTTGCGCGCTTGGGTTTGGCCACCCCGCGTCCCCCGTGAAGTCGCGCACCAACTGTCACTCTTGCCCAGGGTCACTCTTGCGTGTGCCGAATCTGGTTCGGAATTCGCCGGACGCTTGGCCAATTCGCGAGAGAAGGCCGCCTGCTCAACAGCGGCCGCCGTTGGTGTTGGACAACACCGGTTGCTTGACATGGTACCTCTTCTTGTCCGCACTCGTGCCAGGGGGTCCCAAGGGGGGAGGGGAAGGGCGGAACAGCAGCAGCAGGGCAGAGCAGGTGGAGCCAGGAGAACAGTGGTTGTAAAAGGGAAGACTGCCGGCGGCAGCGCACCGCAGGTGCGGAGTAACTAGGGCGAGCTGTGGCTCGCGAATTCTGCGGGCTCTTCTGGCAAGGGGGTCCGCCTGTTTAACAGGCCCACCTGCTTTGATCGTCTTGTAGCGCGTCACAAGGTCGGGCGAACTAGCCGAACCGCGCGTTGCGGTGACGTCGAGCCAGTTCAAGTTTTTTAAGCGTTATGGCAAGGGGGCAGACTTAAAAGGCTTCCCCCGCTCGTGATCCGTAGGGCCCGTCTGTAGAACGGTCGCCCCCAGAGTGAAGGAACCTTCGCCTGAAGCAGTCGTCACGCAAGATGGGGATCTGGAGGGGTCAAAAGGGGAGTGATGGTGACGGGGATGGGCACGTCTCCCTCCCCTGAACTCCTTGTCCAGTTCTGGAAGGAGGGTCAGGAGGGGCTCAACCCTCCCATGCCGGAACCTCCGTTGGCACTCTCCAGCTCACAATTCAGGAGCAGCATAGCAAAACAGCTGCGACACTGAGCGGAGCATGTGGCTCTCCAGCGGAGCCGCACCCAGTGGAGGAAATTGCGTCGTCATATGGCCATAGGTTTCTTCTCTCGTCACCTGATCTGGTCGGTCTATGTCCTGCACTGGCATTGCTGACTTTGCTCGGTCCTCTCTTCACGAGAACTTCGAAGAAGTGGGGACGTGCGCCAGGTATTTGACGCAGACGCCAAGTCCCGCTAGCGACTCAGCGGGTGTTTTTAACGCAGGAGCATGGGGTGGCTGTCACAGCAGCGTCTCAGCCGGCACGCGCACGCTTCAATTCTTCGCCGCTCGTTGCGGCGATGCCTACTTGCGCGTGTGCAATGACCTGGCCGCTTAAGACATGATCTCTCATATGTCATGGCGCCAACATCCAAGAGCGGATTTCGTTCGGAAAACGACAGGATGGGCCCGGAGTGTCCTGTAGAATTTGATTCCGGATTTCGAGGTGAATTTCGTGCCGAATCTTTTTGGGCCAGGAATGAAGACTAGAATACAAGTCCACGCGAAATTCGCCTCGTTTCTCACTCGCCGCTTCGGGGTTGTGCATTGGCAGGCATGCCTGCAAAAATCCGCTGCAGCACGGCTGCAAGGTCGGTGCAGGGACATGCGCGTGGGCCTGGGTGGCCCGGCGCGTCGGACTCTCGGGCCAGGCGAAAGGGGGGGATAGGGCAAGGGGGGGGTACGAAATCTGCTGCATGCAGCTGGTTTCGGCCCCGCCGCCGGGCCCATTCCTCGACACACCCTGATGGTCCGCTACCGAAAATTTCCGGTAGCGCTCCGCAGAGATCGGTCGCTACCGAAATACCGAAATGTAGCGCCCCATACCGGTATCAGACCGTTCTGAAATCCGCTATTTCAACGCCCTCAAACGAAGATCCGGTCGCTACCGAAATTCGGGGTGCGTCGAAATCGCTACCGAAAATTTCCGGTACCAGACCATCAGGGTGGGCGCCTCCTGGAGCCGGGAGGCGCCAGGAAAGTCAGCTGCGTGAGCTGATTCTCAACCCCCCCCTTTGCTATCCCGCCCTGTCGCCCGGCCCGAGGCTCAAGAGATGGTCTTGGGGAGGCCTGGGGCTGTCCCCCCAGGCCACCACAGACCACAGCAGCTTCCCCCCGGCGCCTCCAAGGGTCCCAGGGTGGCCCACAAAGGGCCGCGACAGAGAGGGCTTTGGCAGGGCCCTGGGAGAGTCCAGGAGGACCCAAGGCGGCCCAATGACGACCCCCCAGAGCTACAAGAGGCCCCAAGTTGACCCCAACGCGGGCCCGAGAGATCCCAAGACAGCCCATATATGACCCCAGGTCGAGAGTTCACCCCCCCGCCCCTCTGGTGGGATGGGCCCACGGGTCTCACGGCCCCCTCCCCCCACACATGGGATGGGGTGTGGCTTGGGGGGAGCGACGACGATGCCGACGACGACGGTGACGACGACGACGACACCGCCGCAGACGGCGACGCCGACGCCGACGCCGACGCCGACGGACGACGGACGACGGACGACGGACGACGGACGACGGACGACGACGCCGACGCCGACGGAAGACGACGCCGACGCCGACGGACGACGACGACGACGACGACGACGACGACGACGCCGACGCCGACGCCGACGCCGACGCCGACGGAAGACGACGACGACGACGGCGACGACGACGACGACGAACCACCCCAAACCCTCGGTGGGAGGGGTGGGGGGGCACTGGCACCCAGCACCACGCCACGCCCACAGCAGGGCCACGACCGCAGGCACTGGCGGGGGCGGGGGGGATCCCATTCGACAGGCCTTCGCGGAGGTTCACGGGCGTACCCATCCAGCGGGGAGGGGAGGGGTTCGATCCCATATGCATGGGGGGGCATCCCTGGATCACGCATGGCCGCGCGAGGGCCCCACCACGCGGTATTGATAGCCATCGTCGTGAGGAGGTGGCGGAAGAGGAGTGGAGAAGCGAGAGAGAGAGGAGGAGTCGCAGCACACCTGCCCCGTTCCCATCATCCCCTCATCTCCCGCACTCATTCGCCTTATCCTTACTCGTCTTTTCAGCGCTCCGCCTTCTCATTCTCCTAATCCTTCTGCGGCTCTACATGCGGCTGGGAAACGCAAGGAACGGAGTGCCATGGCATCGACCTCATTGGTACTTGCGTTGCGCTTCTTCTCACCCCTATCTTCCTTGTCCTCGTCTTCGCGATCCCCGTCGTCGTCCTCATGCTCATCATCATCTTTCTTCCCTCTTTCTTCCTCCTCCTCCTCCTCCTCCCCCTCCTCCTCCTCCTCATCCTCCTCCCCCTCCTCCTCCTCCTCCTCCTCCTCCTCCTCCTCCTCCTCCTCCTCCTTGACCTCCTCATTGACCTCCTCGTTCAAGGGAGGCCATGGGTGGCCGCCAGAGACCGCGCGCCCCGCGCCCGCGGGAAAGACCGCTCGACAGCACCCAGGGCAGCCTCGCAGCAGGAACCCCGTCGGCACCCAGCGGGCGCGGCCCCGCCGTTACGGCGCGCGCGCGCGCCACCTCGGCGAGGCCTGCGGACCGCAGTGCAAACGTGCGCCGAGCGCTCCCCCCTCCTTGCCCGCCCGTGCGAGGAGAGATCCGCGCCGAGACCATGGCCGAGCAGCAGGCTGCCGCACCTCAGTGCGCCTCTGGCGGGCGAGGATATATCCACCCCTCCCCCAGCGGCGCGCCCAGTACCGACGCTGCCCCCCCCGCCCGGCACGGCGGGCCTCCGCGGCAAGCGACCGCCCAGCGGGGACCGCCCGAGGCCCAGTCCGCCCGCGACTGGAGGCGTGCCCGCCGCTCCGCCGCGCGCCCGCGCCCCCCCCCCGGGGCCCGCGCGCCCCCCGCGTCGCCCCGCGACGGCACCCGCGCCGTGCGGCGGCGCGCCGCCCCCCGCGCCAGCCGCTCCCCGCCCCCATCGGAGCCGCCGCGACGGGCGCCGCGACGCCCCGGCAGCGCCGCGGAGCCCGCCGCGCGGCACGGCACGCCCGCCGCCACAGGCCGCCTCCGCCGCCAGCTCCGCCGCCCGCGGGCCCCCCGAGCAGCGCTCCACCGAGCGCGCGCCGCCGCCACCGTATAGAGCCGGGGCCCTGAAGAGGGAACCCTTTTGGTTGGGAGGGGCTCCGCGTTCCCTAAGTGTTTCGCAGCTTGCCTCCGGCTTTCCTTACGTTTTCGACAGGAAATCGAAGGTTAACTTATGGAAGACGCCCCGCGGGGCAGACCGCCGCAGCCCGCGGGGGCAGCCCGGCCTTCGGCTGTCGCACCGCGGAGCAGCAGCAGCAGCCTCAGCTCCTCAGACAGCGACTCCTCCTCTCTGTCTGCTGCGCCCCCCCGGGCCCGGAGCCACGGCGGCGACGGTGGCCCCCAACGAGGGCGCCCCACCTCGCACTCGCACTGGCATCGATCGATCGGATCTGTCACAGCGTTGGGGTGTCGTCCCTGCTTCTTCTCCGTCCTTTCCTCCTTTGCACCCGACTCCGCGCCCGCGCGACGGGCCTATTCGCGCTGCCAGACCGTCCCAGGCACCCCACTTACAGCCGCCGCCCCACGAGGTCTCAGCCGCGCGGCGCCCGCAGCCCACCAGCAGCACGAACATCACTCGGCACGACCTCCAGCACCCAGCATCCGACCATCCACTTCCACCCCCACCTATCGACCTCCAACCTCAGCGCTCCGACCTCCAACGTCCAGCATCCGACTTTCCATGGCAGCTTTCACCCATCGACCTCCAGGTTCCGCCACCTCTCAGAGCGTGAATTACCTACCCCGCTTTCGCTTCCAGGCAAAACCAAGCCATACCACGCGCCTCCTCGTCAAGCGGCCTGACCAGTACAGGCCGTAGTTTGGCATCGCTTGGTATCTCTTGGAAGCGAGGGTGGTCAAAAGCGAGGTAGGTTTGCTTTCCCCCTAACCTCAGCGCTCCGACCTCCAGCACCCAGCATCCGACCTTCCACCTCCACCGCCACCCATCGACCTCCAGCCTTCGCCCCGCGACCCACGCCTGACCGGACCCCAGGAGTCGCTCCAGCAGCAGCAGCAGCAGCAGCAGCAGCAGCAGCAGCAGCAGCAGCAGCAGCAGCAACAGCAATTGCAGCAGCCCCTGGGGCTCTGGGAGATGTGCCTGCTCCCGGGCCAGGCCTCCCACCCGACCAGACCACCCCCCTCCGGGTCTGGTTCGCTCCGAGCCACCCGGGACCCCCACCGGGCCACGGCGAGATGCGGTTCGACACGGACGCCCAGGAATGGCACCAGTAGCACAACGCCCACGACGACCACGACGTCGAGACCAGCCATCCCGACAACGTCGACGGCAACATCGCCGCCACCGTGGCCAGCACTCATGCTTCCACCTCCAGCCTCCGCCAGCAGCATCTCCACGGGTCGACCAGAATTTCGTCCGCGTCGGGAGGACACCCCGTCGACAGCATGATGCACATGCCGCCCGTGCCAGAGGAGGCTGTGGCACCAGCGCCGGCGGAAACTGGGACACCGCCACGCGTCCAGCTCCCGCCACCACAGCGATCCGACCTCCAGCGCCCAGCATCCGAGGAGCCACTATCACCTCCACCTCTCGACCTCCACCTTCCACCACCTCAGCCCTCCGCCCTCCTGGGTCTGGCTCCCTCCGGGTCATCCGGGACCACCCCCGGGCAGCGCGGAGCGCCGCAAACCTCCTTTATGGCGCCACCGCGGCGCACGGGGCCCCATACTCCGAGCGCCCCGCGACGGCGACGGCTCGCTCCACCCTCGCCGAGCCGGCTGGCCCCGCCCTCGCGCCCGCAGGTCCCGCCGCGGCCTGTGGACACCATGTTTGCTCGTTGCCTCATCGACCTCCTCGTGCTCAATCCTTTCCCATCCTCGTCGCCTGTCATCCCTCCACCCTGCTCCCTCCCCTCCCTCCCTCCCCCTTCCTCCGCCTCTTCACCCCCTCCCTCCTCCCCTCCCGCGCTCCGGCTGGAGAGAAGCGCGCATGCGGGGAGGGGCAGCAGCGGGGGGGGGGAACGCATGCCCATCTGCGTTCAGTTCCGACTCTTCACCTTAACCCGAGCATTATCCCCAATCGCGTTCTCGGCAACGAACAAGTTGGTTTCGAACCGAACTGCTCCTGTTTCTTCGGGCGGGCGCGGCCCCTCTTCTTCGCTGCGCGGTAGGCTAGAAGGCAGATAGAACCTGAATGCGCGCGACGGGCGCTCCACGGCCTTAGTGGACTAGTGTCGAGGAGGATGGTGTTGCGGATGGTGACAGATGGCATGCAAATCACCAGGAAGAGGAGTGCCATTGCTGAATTCTATTGTGCTGTCCCGTGTACAGCCCACTGTTCCCGAGTAGCGCAGCGAGTGTATCGCACCCGTACGTGGTTGCATTGGCAGCCGCAGTAGCAGCAGTGCCAGCAGTAGATGTACCAGCAGTAGTGGCAGCATCAGTGGTTATTTGTCAGCGTAGCCGCTGTAATATTGGAAACGATAGGGTTAGAAGTAGTTCGAGAAATGTGTGCCATTCATTGTCAATGGTAGCATTAGTGCTGGTCGTTTTTGTTATGAGCTGAAGAATCCGCATCCGACGACGCAGTAGCAACATGAGCAGCAAGGTTGGTTGTAGCACCTCCTTCAAGGCTCCCTCCTCCCCACATGTTCTTCTCTTTCCTGCCCGGGCCTCCGACGCCGTACGTGTCTTACAACGTGGGAGGTCTGAACGCCTTTCTGGGGACCGGCCTTTCATCCTTGTTGTGCGCCCCCGCCGACACGTGTAACAACCTACCCGTCGTGCGTTTCGCGACGCGAGCAGGTAGATCTTCGGGCCATGACTAAGTCTTGGGTCGGCGGCTCGGGACGATGCGGGCAGTCCAAGAGCGCTTCCGGAGAGGCGCAGCTAATGGCAAACATCCCGAGGCGAGGGAGTCTCCACAAACCAGCGGTAACTTCAGACAACTTCCGACCATGTCGTTTCGGCTCACAGCGCAACGTCCCTCCTCCCTCCCTGGTCCCTCCTACCTCCCCGCGCCGTCCCAGACCTGGGCCGCGGCCCCGGCAAGCCGGCAAGGCCCGCCCGAGGGGCCCATGCAGCCGGGCGGCATCGACCCTGGGGTCGCCGTCGCCCGATGCGTCTCCGACATCGAGGCACTCTGCGCCTGCGGGCCGCGACGAGGACGGCGGCGACGACGGCGGCGACGAGGACGACACGGCGACGACGACACGAATGAGGACGGTTTGGGCTGGATGGTTTGGGCGGGCGCCCTCCTCTCAACGAAAAAGCAACCGTGACGCATACGATGCGCGCGTCGGCCGGCGCCGCGAGCGACGAGCACGCTCGACCCTCGTGGGCGTGGGCGGCGCAGTTCCGCGCGCGACAGAGGCGTCGCCTCGCGGAGCTGCCCCCCGGGCCCGGAGACGGCGGAGAAAGTTGCGGCACGGGTCGGAAGGCGTGTGCCGCCGGCGCGTGGGAGTGACCGCTCGCCGGAGCGACCTGTGGTGCGGGGCCGCTGGGGTCCCCCGCCTGCGGTGCGGCAGTGCAGCGCCTTGCGCGCCTGGGTCCGGCCCCCCCCCCGCCCGGGGGCCCCCCAGGAGGCCGCGCACGAGAGGTCCCGCTCTGGCCCAGGGCCACTCCTGCGTGCAGCCCAGCGTGTGAGCAGCCCTCCCCCTCCTCCTCCTCCTCCTCCTCCTCCTCCTCCTCCTCCTCCTCCTCCTCCTCCTCCTCCTCGGGGAACGGCCGAGCAGCGCAGCAGAGCTGCGGGCAAACCTGGCGCACACCCTCTGCGGCAGGCGAGTTTGTGCCAGGGAGCCCCTGCCGATGAGGACTGGGGTGCGAGCCCTCATTTTGCGGGTGGGGGGCGGGCGTCGGGGCGCCTGCCCGGCCCCGCCCGTGATCGCCGCAGGCCCGGTGGAGCCAGGCCAGCGTGCCCAGCCCAACCTCGGAGATCACGTTGTTCCCCGCGCTGCGACCCTTAGGGTTTGGGAAAACATCAGGAGGGGAAAAAGCACACAGACACAATTAATCATCGATCCCGAGGAAAATATAGGAAAATATGGGAAGTGGGGGGGAAGACAAAAACCCAGAAAATATTGGAAAATATGGGGAATCTTTTTATTTGTGTGTATTTATTTGTGTGTCCCAGTTCCCCTTCAAAGATCACGTTGTTCCCCGCGCTGCGACCCTTAGGGTTTGGGAAAACAGGCTCGAGGCGACGCTTCTCGCCTGCGCGCGCGCCTGCAGGCGGAACAGCTGCACCGAATGGGCACGCGCGGTCGGCCCTGGGAGCTGGGCCACTGCGTCGGCGCGGGATCTGCGCGTGCACGGTCTGGAGAGCGCCAGTCGGGAGGGGAAAAAACACACAGACACAAATAATCGTCGATCCCCCAGAAAATAGGGGAAAATATGGGAAGTGGGGGGGAAGACAGAAACCCAGAAAATATGGGAAAATATGGGGGATATCTTTATTTGTATATATTTATGTGTCTGTGTTCCAGTTCCCCTTCAGCCAGGCGTTGCGATGCCAGAGTCAAACAAAAAACGTTTGTCCCCGCGCTTGTGCGATTTCGTACCCGCTCCAGGGCATCAGCGTCTTGCTGCTCGCTTCGCTCCACTGGCGAGCCTCTGGATCTCTGCGTGCCCCGTGGGCACAGGCTTGTCTGCAGGATTCGTTTCTGTGGTCTCGTGGGCTGGCCGCCGTCGCCGCGGCCGCGACTGCGGGCGCGTTCGTCTCGCCGCCTGGGATTGTTCGAACCCAGAGTTCCGACGGCTCCCAGGAGGGCGCGAAGTTATTCGCGCTTCGCGCTTTGCGGTCCTCGTTCCTTCTCCCCCTCCTCCTCGTCCTCCTTTCCTCCCTTTGGGGGGGGGCTGCGCGAGAGCGCGAAGTTATTCGCGCTTCGCGCTTCGCGGAGCGCGAAGCGCGAAGTTGGGAGCCCTAGGACGCTCTCCAAAAAATGGAGCGGCGGGATTTTGGCAGCTTTTTCGGGCTCCAGGGGCCCCCGCCGGGCCTCGAGAGCAATTGGCCCTATAGGGGAGGGCTCTGGACCTCCAGGGCCCAGGCATCGAACAACGATTGGAGCGGCCAGGTGTCCGGGGAGGATCCGGGGTCCGTCCGCCAAGGGAGCCGTTGGCCGCGGGGAGGCGCCCAGAACGTGTCGTCCTGCGCGGTGGAGGCGGTGGCAGGTGGCGCGCGTTGGTGTCAGCGACGGCGATGCGGGCGACGGCGCGACGGAGGGGAGGGAGGACTGACGGGGAGCAGGATGATAAAGGGGGGGAGGGAGCAGCCACATCAGGCGCGCACCAGCGGCAGTAGCAACCGACGGGCAGTGCGGTGAACGCCCATCGCGGAGTTGTTGATGAAGACAGACTGGACATGAGCATGACTCGCGCGCCAGATCGCGCCAGTGTTGCTATCGGCATGAGCGTATTTTTCTAAGCTGGACAGTTTCATGATAGGTATGTCGGACGCCTTGAAGTGGCAACAGTATTTCCCACGTCCCACGTCGAGTAAGTACGCACATGGCTCAGTCATGAATAACTTCGCCACGGCGATTGCATTACGACTTGACTAGCGCCCACAATGGCAGAGAGGGAGGGTGAGGACAGGCGTCGCCCCGTACAGCAGTCGAGTACAAGAGAAAAAGAGCAGGGCTGGAACGAGAGACCCAACTTCGGAGGTTGCGGACATTGTGGCGTTGGACCTGGAGTTCTCTGGCCTGTTCCTGAGGCGTGCGCTCCATTCCGTACGCAATGCTCTGATCTTTCCCACCCCTCCTGTGCTGGAGTCTCGTCTTGAATATAGAGCACCGTGGTCTCCGTCACTCACTCCATTCTCTCCTCCCCCCTCTCCTCCTCCCGCCTCCCTTCTCCTGCTGCCTCCTGCCCTCTGTTCTCTCTCTCTCTCTGCCTCCTGCCTCCTGTCTCCTCCCCCTGCCTCCTCCTATTCCTCCTCCTCCTCCTTCTCCTCCTCCTCCTCCTCCTCCTCCTCCGCCTTCAACTGTCGCCACTGGGAGGGCTCCTGGTAGGCCCAGCGCAGTGGGTGAGCTACGCAGATCCCGTCGAGACCTCGCGTTTCCCTAGAGGCGTGCGAGTTGCGCCACTGCTGCCATTTCGCGGGCTCCTGGGAGGTCCAGCGGGGTGGAGCTGTGCGCAGATCCCGCCGAGGCCTCGCGGCTCCCTGCGGGGCTGCAGCGTGTGCAGCTGTCGCCACTCTCGCTCCTGGGAGGCCCAGCTGAGCCGGCAAGAAGTCGCGCAGATGCCGTGGAGACCTCGCGGCTCCCTGGCCATGCTGCGGACTGCGCCTCTGTCGCCAAGGTCGTGGGCTCCCGGGAGGCCCAGCGGAGTCGGTCGTTGCGCAGGTCCCGTCGAGACGTCGCGGCTCCCCGGCCGTGCTGCGAACTGTGCAGTTGCCGCCACTTTCGCGGGCCTCTCGGAGGTCCAGCGGAGTCGGTAGTCGCGCAGGGCCCGTCGAGACCTTGCGGCTCCCTGGGGTGCTGCGGAGCGAGGCTCATCTCCCGACCGGCCGTCGCCTTAGCCTCCCAGACATGCGGCCCGCTGCCGCGTGATTCGCGCCCGCTTCGGTCGGCGCAGTGTGCTCTGCGGGAGCGCAGCCTTCCCAGGCCTCAGATGTCGTGGTTCCTCGAGGATCGAAGTTTGAGGCTATATATGATCCAGGGTCGAGGGCACACGGCCCCCCCCCCCCAGATGGTATGGGGTCCATGGCTTGGGCCCTCCCCCCCCCAATGCTGATGCCATTGGGCCCCCCCCCCGCGCGATGGTCCCCCCGCCCCCCCCTGTGGGCGTGGCGTGGTGCTGCGCTGCGGTGCCCCCCTCCCCCCCCCTGTGGATGTGGTGTGGTGCTGTGGTGGTTCAGAGGTGGGCGTGGCGTGGTGCTGCGCTGGGGTGCCCCCCTCCCCCCCCCCTGTGGATGTGGTGTGGTGCTGTGGTGGTTCCGAGGTCGTCGTCGTCGTCGTCCTCGTCGTCCTCGTCGTCCTCGTCGTCCTCGTCGTCGTCGTCGTCGTCGTCGTCGTCGTCGTCGTCGTCTTCGTCGTCCTCGTCGCCATCGTCATCGTCGTCATCGTCGTCGTCGCCGCCGCCGCCGCCGGCGTCGTCGCCGCCGCAGCCGTCGTCGTGGTCGTCGTCGTCGTCGTCGTCGTCGTCGCCGTAGTCGTCGCCGTCGCCGTCGCCGTCGCCGTCGCCGTCGCCGTCGCCGTCGCCGTCGCCGTCGCCGTCGCCGTCGCCGTCGCCGTCGCCGTCGTCGTCGTCGTCGTCGTCGTCGTCGTCGTCGTCGTCGTCGTCGTCGTCGTCTCTGGGACCATACAGTCTAGGGGGGGGGGGCGGGCCCGAGGAATCCTGGGACCATACCATCTGGGGGGGGGGGGCCCGTGGGCCCGGAGCCCGGGATCATATTTCTGGCGCCCGGGGGCTGTCCTTGGGCCCTCCTGGACGGAGTGAGGAGGGAAGAGTAAGGAGGGAGGAGGAGGAGGAGGAGGAGGAGGAGGAGGAGGAGGAGGAGGACCAGGACAGAGGGAGGAGGAGGGATTAGGAGGAGGAGGAGGGAGGAGGAGGAGGAGGACCTCGACGGAGGGAGGAGGAGGAGGAGGAGTGAGCGAGGCAATCGCTAAGCGAGTCGGGCTGGAATGGGAAAAGGCGGGGAGGGGAGGGATGGGGTGTGCGGTCCTCGGGCTCGAAGTTGTTGAGCAGGGGCGGCCACGCGCGCGCGCGACGCACGCTCGCCGCTCCTTCCTCCTCACTGCCCCGGGGACCCCTCTGCACTGTCTAAAGCCCACCCGCACTCTCTAGGCTCCTGACGGGCAGCTCTCTCTGCACGACGCAGAACTTTGGGCCACTGGCGGGCCTTTTATTATGTTGAGATAGTATTGGCAGTGTGGTGGGGTGACCTCAGGCTTGGGACAAGCTTTATGCAACTTGCCCTTCTGAGGCTGACAACGACTACAGAGCCAAAGGATCAGCCTTGAGTGAAACTTTAAACGATGGCTATTATCAACCCACTTTCCAGCCAAGTGCAGACGAGCCCCCTGGGGCACGGAACAATCAACGCCCCCAGGTTGTTCTATTTAAAAGCACGGCGAGTGTCTCCAGGCGACGACTGTATTGAGCGTGGCAGAACCTCTACAGCGGCTACGCAGCCCTTACCATTTTCCGCGAGGCAGCACCCGCTGACAAAAAAACAGACATTTGCCGAGGTCCAGGAGGGGAGGAGCCTTGACAACCTCATATGGTTTCTTCATTTCATTGCCCAGACCACGTTCGTTTTCAATAGCATCCAAATTGGCCCGCAACAGCCGATGTCGGACAAGGAGTGAACGGCGTTCGTGTTTAGCAATTCTAGCTCTGGTGAGCTCATCAACTCGACTACGGGCGGCGGTTATTTTGGCAACAGCGTCAGCCGCATGATCACCGAGGAGCAACCAATCGGGGAAACGCTTTTGATATATTGCTTCACCTGACAACTGAGATTTGACAAACAATAACAGAACTCGATAGTTACCCCTGGCAGCAAACTCCTGACCACTCTTGGCCCATGCATCTGCCTCTACACCGTGGGGCTTCCACGATTCAGAAATATACCAACTTTCAATGACTCCGAACTTGTCCGTTACAAATATTATGTGCCCAGTGCTTGAGTAAAGCGCCAGCCTCAAAGCAGTCAACCCATATCTGCCAACAACCTGGCGGTGGCCTTGGAGGGGTCCTTAAATCGTAGCCAGAGTCTGATGCGATCCTGCACTGTCTCTGGTGGGCTCTGCTGCCAGCACAAGGCCCACCCCAACACGTCTGAGGTTCGGATTTGCAGAGTCTGGCCCTCCGCTTGAGTCCCTAACGAAATGGAGGGGGTGCTCTCGGGTTCTGTCGCCTGCTGCTCCTCTGGCTGCTTCTGCGATGTTGCATGCACATCTCCAGTCCTCGACAAGTGACGGCAGTGGGGTCCGAGTCCACGCCTTGGGTAGCAAACCTCGCAGCCTCAAGCACTCGGTTGATTCCCCCTGCCCGTAAGCTTCCGACGCGAACTCCTCTGACTTTTCATACGCCGGAGATCCCCGATTGGCGGGACACGACCAACACGTGTGGAAAGGGGTCTCTCTGCCCTGGCCGCATCGCCGACATATGGGAGAGCCACTGCCTGGTCGCAGCTTCTCTCTCCGATCGCGTGGCCACGTGTCACCTGTGGCGACCGCGACCATCAGCTCCGCCAGCCTGCTGCCGTGTGGGGAATCGCGTAGTTGGCGTATGAGACGGATGTGCGAGTCCATGGCAACGCCGTCCTCAGCTCCGCCACCGCAGACGTGAGCATTTCGATTTGGACCACCGCAGTCTGGAACGATCGCCGTGGGACTCCCGAACCAGATCACGAGCTACAGCAAACATACTCTCAGTAAAACTCCAAACTATGATCTCGCCGTCTGGGCTTCCTGGTCTTCCCCAAGATCCCGCTGCAGTAGGTACCCAACCTGTCTCCAGTAAGTAGCATATGATAGCTTCCATTGGTCCCCTGACGTGCCGGGTACGGTTTTGCGGCCCCATACCCGTAAAGTTCCCTACCGCTTTTGGCCACCACGCCAATCTTGTTGCTGAGCAAAAATGCGCCCCTTCATGAACCCGCATGCGAAACCACAGTCGAAGAGCAGCTCTTGCCATCGTGACTCCTGGATCTCCATTGGGCCCCTGCAGGGGCAACAGAGTTGTGAGACATCTGCCTGCTGAGGCAGCTGCACTTGCGTGACGCAGGCGTCGACGAAGGTCTGTGATCGCATATCCGAAAGCTCCATGACTTCGGTACGCGTATGCTCCTGCAGTCTGCGACCCTTGCCTTTCCAAGGGAGAGGGGGCCTTGCGTTTGCGACGGCACTTTGCAAAGCTGGACACGTTCGCATTCTTCGGGCTGACTTTTCCAGCCGTGCTCGCCTCACTGATCTTGCCAGTCTTTTGCCGCCGCCGAAGTCTGCCCCCAGGTGCGCCACCTTGAGATTCAGCCTCAATCGTGGAGCCTGCACGACGAACTGCTCGGGCAACATGCTTGGCATCGGACATGTGCGTGCAACATGCTGCTGGCTTGATTGCAACTTGGAGCTTCAACTTGGACAAACCTGTGCATGTGTCGATGATGACATTGGTTAGTTCACGTCGGATGTGAGCTCCCGACCCTTTTGCACTTTGGCTAAGGTCATCAATCCAGATTCTGTGCGTGAGAGATGGATGGGCGATCGCTATTTTGCAGCACCACAAATATCATCATTCGAGCACATCGTGTTCCCGACTTTGGGCCTTGAACGATACCCTGCAAGAGGCAGACTGGGTTGACATACGCTCCTGTCTGGCGTAGCGTCCGTGGCGCCGCGCACTAAGGAGCTCCAAGTACAAAATCGCTGGAGAGAAGCCAACCGTTAATACACCTCTGGTGAGCAAACCCAAGTTCTTGCATCATACACCCATTGTAAAACAAGAAGACCGCTGCCTATGTCTTCATCCAGCACTCTGGTAAATGCCTCTCGGAGGGCTGCGTTGCCAGCGATGGCTGCATCCCACGGGACATTATGGTTGTCCATTCCCATCCATTCTGCAACTTCTGGTTCTCGGCACATTGGCCACACTCGAGCGACCACCGTAATAATACCTATGATGCGATCTCCTGATCCGCGATGATTGGGCATCATGTGTCCAATCACGAGCTGGGTCTAAACTGGCCACGATAATACACTTGTAAGTGCGTCGAGAATGGTAATTAACTCGTCCATTGATTTGTCGTGCTGCCTTTCGAAATCGAGGTGAGGCAATCGATCCGCACCTTGGCCCAACGTTGGCCGCATCTTTTTTGGTGCCCGCCGGGCTGCTGTTGGGCCTAGGTCCGTTAAGACCGCATCTTTAGTTCGCCGACGTGCCTCGCTGAAAGCGTCGTCCGAAGCTTGAAGGTCTGACACTGGCGGGGCCCAAAGTGCTTTCCGACGATTGCGGGTTGTTTCCATGATTTCTTGTGGGTTGCTCAATACTTGGCCTGAATGTACAACTTCTTGCACTAACAGCGGTTCATCCCGAATACTTCTGTGCAGTTGTCCAAGAGTTTCTGGGCGTTCAACCCATTCTCGAAATAGTTGCAAGGATACGTTCAATGCTCGATTCTGCGCACGCTTGAGAACGTTAATGACCAGGCCGTCGAGCTTGTCCAAATCTGAATCCGAGGAGTCATTGAGTGTCCGCAGTCCGATGACAAGGTCATGTCAGTGAGGTTCGCGAGGACGGAGCAAACACTCTGCCCGCTCTGGAATATCAGTTGTCAATACTCGGCACGAACCCTGAAGCTCCTCAAAGTGTTTGACTCCATTGTTTCGTGCACGATGTCGGGAATAAGATGAAACCATTGTTGATAACCTTGTCCACCAATTCGACACGTCATCTTGGAACGGGGAAAAGGAGGAGGAGGAGGAGGAGGAGGAGGAGGAGGAGGAGGGGGGAGGGGGAGGAGGAGGAGGAGGAGAGGAGGAGGAGGAGGAGAGGAGGAGGGAGGAGAGGAGGAGGAAGGAAGGAGGAGGAGGAGGAGGAGGAGGAGGAGGGAGGAGGGAGGAGGAGGAGGAGGAGGAGGAGGAGGAGGAGGAGGAGGAGGAGGAGGAGGAGGAGGAGGAGGAGGAGGAGGAGGAGGAGGAGGAGGAGGAGAGGAGTAGGAGTAGGAGGAGGAGGAGGAGGAGGAGGAGGAGGAGGAGGACCAGGAGAGGGAGGAGGAGGAGGAGGAGAAGGAGGAGGAGGAGGAGACGCAGCAGGAGGAGGAGGAGGTGGATGAGGACGGAGGGATGAGGGAGGAGGAGGAGGAGGAGGACGGAGGGAGGAGGGAGGAGGAGGAGGAGGAGCATGAGGAGGAGGCGCACTAGCCGGGACCCCCTTGGCCGAGGCGCGCACCAAGCTGAGACCTCGCGGCGCGTGTGCGCTATCCCATCGGCCCAATCGAGTACAGTGGGTGTGCAAGGCCCGAAGCTCGCATGTTCGATCGCCTTGGGTTCCTTGATGCCAAGTTGCTTGACGCCAGCGGTCAAGAAACCGCTCGGGCCAGGGTGACCTGGATTGCTTCGTTTGCAGCCGAAGTGCAAGACACCCAACCTTGCAACCAGAAACCTCGGCGGATTTCACGGTTTGGTTTCTTGCGGTGGGTTTCTTGTGGATCGGCCTCCATTGTATCCACACCCAGCCGAGATCTCCCGACATCGGTTTTTTATTGCGCGGTCCTGGATGTAGCCGCTACGCGTTTAGACAGGGTTGGGCACGTTCCCAGGCCATTCGGTCTGTAGGGTTTTTCCCATGTGGCGCTGTACCAAGTTCTGCATCCGTCATACTTCCCATCGCTCTTGCAGGTCTTTGAAGCCACTGTCCCAAGAATGGTCCACACACTCTCTGGATCCTGTGCACGGGTGGCCCTTCGTCGCGGCATCAGCTATGCGTCGGCGAAGTGGCCCGCCTGTCGAGGCGCGTTCGTGATGGAAACGTTGTGCGGGTCAGCTCTGGCGACAACCCTGCATCGGAGGTGTGCAGTGATGAGTGGTGCCATGCTGGACGGCTGTCCAGTGCACAGGACACTCGCAGAGGTCTCTAAGAAAGAGCGTACGGTCGCGGGATGGGGCTGGATTTGGTGCAGACGTGCGTGTTTGGGGCTGGATTTAGTTTTGGTCAGCACGCGTACCGTGCAAGCCGCCCCACCCCCGCCATGCCCTATTCGTATAGCGGCCGCTTGGGGCCGCCAGGGGTTTGAACGCACCACCGCTTGCCGCTTTCACTTGCCAGGGAACTCTCCTGTTCCTCCGCTCCTCCGCCATTCTTGATCCTGTTCACGCACAGGAGGGATTCCTGTGCACCGGTTCTGTGGCGTTCGGGTCGCTACTGGCGAAGCGAGCGAACCTTCAGGCCATGTCGTGGCAGGTTTTAAAAGTCTCTCTGCCTTCCTGGTGTCTTCTCGAGACTCGCCGCGCGGCCCGCGTCGAGCGCGACGCCTCTGGCGCCTGCTACAGCTTTGCGCTCCAAGGGCTCTCCGAGAGCGGGCACTGCATCGGCGACGAGCGAGGGAGGGGCATGAGAAGGAGGAGGCCTGCTCAACAGGCGGCGGGACTTCTTGGAAGCCCTCCAGGCCTTCAGAGAAGCTGTTTCTGTCTCCCGGGAAGGTTCGGACAACCTCTCAGGAGGCCAGTGGGCTTCCGAGCCTTCTGAGAAGGCCTTCTCCTCCTCACTTCCCCCCCTCGCTCGCCGCCGACCGGAGACACCACCCGGAAAGAACGACGCAGCAGCGGGAGTCTTGTGCGCGAGGCGGCAGCGGCGTCGTCATGCGTCGGACATCGAAAGTTTCCCCTCCGGGCGCTGGGCCCTGCTGGGCCTGTCGGCTCCTTTTGGTGTTTCTCGCCCGTCGCCCCTCTCGCGAGGTGGCCGATTTTGTTTTAATTCTTGCAAGCTTTTAATCCGCCATGAAAAATACACAGACATCCTCCACTGGATTGTTTCTTGGCCTCAGGAGAGGGTGGCGGTGTACAAATCACCACCTGAAGCTAGCGACTTTGTACACCGTCACCCTTCCTGAAGGTACGTGCAAAAGTCGTCGGGAGGTGTCTGTGCATGTATGTATGTTTTTTTTTGTTTTTTTTTTTTTCTCTCTCTCTCTCTCTCCCTCTATATATATATATATATATATATATATATCCATAAGGGCTTTGCCCCCATGCCGCGGGCCCCCCTCTCTTAGAATGGGTCTTGCCAGAGCTGTGTTGGGATGTCTGAGGCTGACGTGAAGCAATGTCGGAACATCACAAACTGCGGAATGTATCACAATTTCGAATATGGCGTCATTTACGAGGGTGTATAGCTTCGGGGACGCGCATATCGCGTAGTTTACAAGGGTTATGGCTTCGAGGACGCAGCGATTGCGTACTTTACGAGGTTGGCTTCGAGGACGCGAATATGGTATAGCGTACGATTGCTTATGGCTTCGGGGGCGCGAATATTACATAATCTACGAAGGGTGTATGGCCTCGGGACGCGTATATGATATAATTTACAAGCGTTTATGGCGTCGGGGACGCAAGCACTGCATAATTTACTAGGGCTGATGGCCTCGGGGATGTTAGCATCGTGTAATTTACAAAGGACTCTGGCTTCGGGGGCGCGAATATTGAGTAATGTATGAGGGTGTATCGCCTCGGGGACGCGAATATGGTGTACACTATTGGAGATTATGGCCTCGGGGAATCTCATATATATTTTTACGTGTCCCACGCCCCCCCCCCCCCCAGGAATTCAGACAACGCGATCTGGGCGTGGTGAAAAAGCTGGTTTGGGGCTGCCCCCCCTCGCGCGCTCAGCAACAATTAGTAGTAAGGAAGCAGAAAGCAGGACTGTAGCAGTGGAGACTGGAAGCTGCAATTGGAACAGGGCGCTGCAGCCTGGTGGCCCCGCAGCCTGGTGGCCCCGCAAGGGGGCCGGCGGATCTATGTATAGTCGTAGACGCGAATACCCCAACAGGCCCCTCCTCGCCCGAGCTTGTAAATGCTGACCCCCCGCAACCGCGGTGGCTCAAAGTCTGAGAGGCCCCCAGCCGCGGCGGCCCCTGCATGGACGGCGGGGCGCCTCCGCTGTGGGCGACGCTGCTCACGGCGTGGGGGGCGACCTGGAGCGCCTGCTGGAGCTGGGGCTGGGGCGGAGTCGCCCCCCAGGCGGCGCACGCGGCGCCGTTCGCGTCCTCCGGCCACTGCCAGGAGGACTCTGAGCGCCGCTCCTGCGACTGGGAGCTGCGCAAGATCATCGACCTCCAGCAAGAGGTCGGTCTCCTCCAGTCGGAGGTGTGGGCGCTGCGGTGCCTGCTGCTGGCCGGGCTTCTACTGCTCGGCGCTGTAGCCTCGGGTGCTGGCACGCTGGGCTTCCTGGTGGGGGCCTGCCGGCGCTGCCGCTGCGGCGGGCGCGAGCGCGCTCCGGGCCGGGCGGCCGAGCCCGGCGCCCAACCGGCCGCGACCTCGAGGGCGGCGGCGGTGGAGGGGCCGGCGTGCCCTCAGCCGGGCCGAGGGCCCTCGACGCCGAGCCGCCGGCAGCAGTAGCCCGATGGCAGACGTGCAGACGCTGGACATCGGCGACCCGCAGATCCTGGTCCACTACCCGGACGACGACAACGGCTTCTACTGGCATCGCAGAGTCTTGCTCTTCAGAGTGTCGGACGATATCTGGATCAGTTTGACACCTGATCTCGCCCTGGTGCGCTTGAAGCTCCTGGACATCCGGCACGAGGTGCTGGAGAGGCGAGCCCCGTTCCCTGCCCACCTGGGCAACCAGGTCTACGCCCACGACCCCATCGCCGCCGCCGCCCTGGCGGGCTTCCGCCGCCGTGCGAAGATCCAGGGGCAGCTGCTGGGGGTGGGCCAGGTGGACGTGGTCGAGAGGATGATCTGGGTGGTGGCCGAGCCCCGGTCGGCGAAGTTCGGCGAGGTGATCGACTCGGCCATCATGGACGACGACGCCCGCGGCACGGGCTTCGACACGAAGGGCGTGGCGGTCGTGGACGGGGAGGAGATTCTCGTGCAGAAGATCGCGGCTAGCAAGCTCGACGACTTCAAGAAGGAGACCAAGGCGGACCTCGGAGACGTGCGCACGCTCGGGGACCACCTCGACGATGCTGGGCAACGCAGCCTGAGGCTCTCGGAGGCGGTCGCGCTGATGAGAGACACGGACCAGCCGAACTTCCCGCTCGCCGGCGTGAGGAGCGTGAAGGAGTTCCTCGAGTCGGTGGCTTCCGGGCCTGGCAACATGACGTCGTACCAGGCGGAGTGGGAGCGGCTCGGTGGAGTCGGCGAGGGTTCGGCAGTCAACCACGTGCACCGCAACTTGTGCGAGGTGATTCGGCTCATGCGCTCCTGGGGCCAGGTCGACGCCTCCATGATGGCCTCTGCGGAGCTGATCGTGCGCTGGCTGGTTCAGACGGAGATAGCGGTAGAGCGCAACCCGCGCCACCCAGACTACAGCGGACTGGACATAGTGATCTCGGCCCCGGTGAACGCAGCGGGCCGCGCGACGACGAACAAGTTCAACTCCTGGGTCACTGACAAGCTCAAGGAGAGGGCGCAGATCTGGAAGCAGGAGCGCCTGTACCGCGAGGAGCAGAAGACGACCCTGAAGGAGGGCAAGGGCGGCGATGGCTACGATCCGTCCAAGAAGAAGCCGAAGAAGAGAGGGGGTAAGGCCGGCGCCGAGGGCGCCGGCGAAGGAGGATGACGCCTCTCGGGGCTGTGGGGGAGCCGGCGCTGGCAGCCCGGGCGCCGAGAGAGCCCCCCCACAGCCGACACAGACGTGGGCTAGCCCCCTCCATTCCTGGAGGGATCCGGTCACGAGATCGACGGCACGGAGACCCCTTTCCTCTGCCCTGCGATCCGAGTGGCCTCGGCTCTGCATGCAGCTCTGCGCGGCAACGGCAAGTTTTTGACACGGTTCGGGCCCCGAACCAGCTTGCCGCCGCCAACGTGAATTCACGTCGCGCCCAGGGGCGCGACCGCGCACCAGAAGGGCACCTCCGGCCGACCGCCGTGCAGCAGTGGATGATCCAGAACGTTGCCCGGCGTGTGCAGGCGCATGGGGATTGCCCCACTGACCTCACAGAGGAGTCATCGTTGCACGAGATCCTCGACTCGAGAGACCACTGCGGGATGGAGCCCAAGAACTTGGCCAGCTTCGACTTCGACAAGGTCAAGATCCTGCACAGGAAGGTCCACGTTCGGCCGATGCGCCGGGAGTTGCCCGCGTCGGCCGCTGGTTACCTTCGACACGCCTCCGACTTGATCGAGATGGACGAAGCGGAGCTTGAGAGAGATCGTGCCGAGGGAGTGGGTGTCACGCCATACTGGGACCCTCACCTCCGGCGCTCGCGAGACCTTCGGAAGCGACTGTACCAGCGCCTGGACCAGCAGGGCATGCTGACTTGGCGCCGGCGGCTGAAGGGGCATGCGGGCATCTTCGTGGTCAAGAAAAAGGATGGGCTCCAGAGGTTGATCATCGACGCCCGAGCGGCCGACCGGGCGCATCGGCGACCTCCCACTACTCGGCTAGGCTCCTCGCGATGCATGGCCGACCTCGACCTCTCCGACCCCCGCCTGAAGGCATCGGGCTTCGGGGGCCTCGGCTCCGGGGCCTTCAGCCCAGCTGGCCGCGAAGGAGACGTCGGGGACTGCTTCTACAACTTCACCATCCCCGAGCTGGCGAGCTGGTTCGGCTTCACAGACCAGTTCGACACCAACGAGCTGACGGAGATGGGCTGCCTGCCGGACTCGATCTGGGACGACGCCGAGGGGGCCGAGACCAAGGTCGGGGACGGCGAGCAGTTCTACCCTTGCATGCGCGCGGTTTGCATGGGCTGGTGTTGGGCGCTCTACTTCGCCAACGAGGCCGTGACCTACCGCGTCCAGCGGGCGCTGCCCGACGGGGCCGAGAAGGTGATGAGGGAGATGCAGCCTGCCCCGACCATCGAGCCCGGCAAGTGCGTTGCCGGAGTGTACGTTGACAACGTGCAGGTGATCGGAGGCTGCGAGGCTGACGCCAACACTCAGATGCATGAAATCGAGAATCTTTTTCGAGAGGACCGTATACCCTTCGACGTGGAGCCGGGGGACAGTTTGGAGATGCAGTCCCTCGGCCTGGTGTACCACTGGCAGGAGCGTCGCCTGAGGCATGTGGCTCGGCGCGTCTGGCGGACCCACATGGCCGGACACGCCCTTTTGAGACGCCGCAAGCTCCACGGGCACGCGCTCCAGTGCTGGCTGGGGCACGTCGCGAACTTGAACCAGCTCTGCCCCGAGGCGATGTCCGCGCTGAACGCCTGCTACCGCTTCATCGAGGAGTCGCTGGAGTCGCCCAAGCGGGTCTGGCCCTCCGTGAAGTCCGAGATCCGCTGCTCGATGAACTTGCTCTTCCTGATGGAGGCGGACCTGGGCGCGACCTACTCGGACCAGGTGTACTGCGGGGACTCGTCCGGCCGCGGCTACGCGCTCCACGTGACGAACGCCGAGCCGATCGAGCTCCGAGAAGCCTGGAGGTGGAGAGAACGCTGGCGGTACCGCGACGTCCCAACGGTGACGGGCCACGTCAGCAACGGGCTCGACTACGTGCGCGGCGGCACGCCCGGCACCGCCACTGGCCCGAAGACCGCCTTCGGCCAGTCCCTGCTGAGTCAGGCGGAGGTGCCAGAGGATGCGAGCGGCCTGGCTCCCTCTCCGGCCCGAAGCCGCGCTGCGAAGCCGGCTCGTGGCCGCACCCAGCTGCATCTGGACTCGGGCATCCCCGCCTTGGAGGACAGCTGGGTAGCCAGGCGCCGCTACAAGCTGGTCGCCGCGGACCGCTGGCGCTGGCAGGACGAGCACATCAACCTCAAGGAGGCGAGGGTCGCCTTGATGGGGCTCCGTCGACACTGCCGGTCGGTGAAGTTCATGGGCACAAAGCTGCTCTCGATCAGCGACAGCCAGGTCACCGTTGGGGCCTTCGAGAAGGGCCGCTCCAGCGCGGGCCTGCAGGCCCTCTGCAGGCGCGCAGCCGCCTACCGCCTGGGCGGGCAAATCGCCTGGCGGCTCAGGTATATCGAGACTGACCGAAACCCGAGCGACGAGGACTCCCGGCGCTGGGACCTGAAGAAGCCTGCTGGGCTGAACCGGGCGCCCGAGCGTCGAGACGCCGCCCCGAGCCTGTCCGCTCCGGCTGCGAGTTACACGACCTCCTCCTCTTCTCGGTCACCTCCGTCTGAATCCTCAGCATCTGTTGTACGCCCGTCAATTCAGAGCGAGCCTGGTAAATCAGTTTTTTGTATGGAGCTCTTCGGTGGAAAGGGTGAGCTGACTCGAGCTTGCCTGGCGGAGGGGCTCCCCTTCGCGGATTCAGTTGATATCCGAGACGGCTGGGAATTTGATCTTTCTCGTCGCAGCACACAAGAGTTTATCCTGAGGCTGGCCCGAGAAGGGCGTTTGATATATGTGCACCTGGGAACGCCTTGTCAGGTTTGGAGTATCGCTCGGAGGGGGATCCGAAGCCACGTTCGAGCCAGGGCCCGGGAACGTCTGGGCATCGAGTTCGCACTGTTCACGGCTACGTTGTGTCATATCTTATCACGTCGTGGGTGTTATTGGAGTGTGGAAAACCCCCGGACTTCGAGACTCTGGAACTTCGACCCGATCGCTCGCCTGCATGGACTCGCGGACGTCGTCGAGGTAAACTTCGATATGAGCATGTACGGCACGGCCTATCGGAAACCTATTCGGATCCTGACAAACCTGAAAGCATTACAGTCCCTGGGAGATCGACCTCGCATTCGACATAAACACTCGGTCTTGCTACACGGTCATCTCACACCACTTGCCGCCGCCTACCCGCCAGCATTGGGCTCGTGTTGGGCCAAGCTTCTTTCTTCGGCCCTGCCGGGCGACATACGCCCGGGCCGGCGAGCCTTCGACCCCAGCGAGGTCCGCCATGGCCTCCAGCGGGCCGCGGGCCGTCAGCCGGCGGCTCGAGGAGCAGCGGTTCACGGTGAGGTCGATGAACCCCGTGAGCCAGCCTGCCAGGCCGCCGACTCGTTCCTCGAGCACGACCCGATCATCCAGTTCGGCCAGGACGAGCGGCCCCGGCGCTGGAGGGCCCACCCGGACTGGGCGGCAGCCGCCACCGGGGAAGGGCCGACCGCGGCAGCCTACAGGCCCCCGGCGGGCAGGCCCCATCACCGTCCCGCGGAAGGACTCGCTGATCATGGCGACGGTGACCGGAGGCACTCTGGAGAGGTACGCGACGGCGGTCCACGAGTTCGAGACCTACGCGAAGGAGAAGCGCCTGCCGCTGCAGCCGCTGGCACGCCTGGACGACAGCCTCTCCCTCTACTTCGTGGACCTGTTCGACGACGGCTTCGGGGTCTGGGAGGGGCGCAACGCCTTCTACGGGTACAAGCTGCTGAAGCTCAAGACGACGGGCAAGGTCGACCTCCCAAAGGCGCTGGCCTCCCTGAAGGGTTGGACGAAGCGGGCGCCCGGGAGGATGCGTCTGCCGTTGCCCGACATCATCGTGGACGACATCGCGCTGGACCTAGTGGAGCACGGGAACCCCCTGATGGGGGCCGCGGTGGTGATCCAGACAGACACCTACACGCGGCCCTCCGAGGTGGTGGGGCTGAGGCAGGGCCAGGTCCTGCCGCCGGCGCCGGTCGCGAAGCTCGGCGCGCACTATGGCATCGTCATCGCGCCCTCGGAGTGGCACGAGACCACGAAGACGGGCGGCCAGGACGACAGCCTGCTCGTGGGCGACGTGGCGAGGCCGTGGCTGACGAGCGTGCTGCGGCTGCTCCGCAAGCCCAACGCGTCGGACAAGAAGAAGATCTTCGACTTCACCCTCGGCGACTACGAGCGCGAGGTGAAGAAGTCGGCCTGCCGCCTGGGCTACACCTCCCTGGGCGTTTGCCCGCACGTCTTCCGGCACTCGGGCGCCAGCAACGACAAGGCGCACTCCCGGAGGACGTTGAAAGAGGTTCAGAAGCGCGGACGATGGGCATCTTCCGCGTCGGTGGCTCGCTACGAGAAGGGGGCCCTGATCTTGCAGCAGTTGCGCAAGGTTCCCTTGGCCAAGCAGAAAAAGGCGGCTGAGCGCAGCAAGCGCCTGCCGCAGATCCTCCTTCAGAAGATTCGTGAAATGTAGCGGCCACCAGTTCATGATACGGGTATGGGCGAAAGAGGGGCCGTCCAAGATGACAGCCCGACGATGTTCGACAATTTTCTCGTCTCAGGCCTGAGCTTCGATTGGATTACCTTGTCAGAGAGTGCGTGAGAAAGGTGATCCAAACTATATCGCACAGCTTCGCTGGATATGCATGTCTGGGCGAGGTTTTCAGGCCATCTAGGGGTGTGTATAGTCGTAGACGTGAATACCCCAACAGGCCCCTCCTCGCCCGAGCTTGTAAATGCTGACCCCCCGCAACCGCGGTGGCTCAAAGTCTGCCCGCCCTCAGCCACCCTCGAGCTCAGCACGCTTCGCTCGTAATTCAGTGCATTTTCCGCTGGGCGAAAGAGGGGCCGTCCAAGATGACAGCCCGACGATGTTCGACAATTTTCTCGTCTCAGGCCTGAGCTTCGATTGGATTACCTTGTCAGAGAGTGCGTGAGAAAGGTGATCCAAACTATATCGCACAGCTTCGCTGGATATGCATGTCTGGGCGAGGTTTTCAGGCCATCTAGGGGTGTATATATATATATATATATATATATATAGAGCTGTGGAGGACGATCCGTGGAGAGCAAGCATGCTGCCAAATAATTGCCAGGTGTTTAAAAATGGTTCAAACATGCTCTAAAAGTGTAAAAACATGGTTGCCACATGTTTAGAACATGTTTTTACACAGTTTGAACACATATTTAGTTCAATGATAGGATTGACAGAGTGTCCATTGTCGTGGCATCCACAAATGAATGGATAGGTAGATCGATTCGCGGCGTATCTGATTGGGCCGCACCAGCAGTGCGGTGCAGCCAGCGAGGAGCAGAGCAGGACCATTCGAAGCAGCAGGAGCAGAAGCAGGGCCAGGAGCAAAGCAGGAGGAGGGAGGGAGGGAGGGAGTGAGAGAGGGAGGGAGGGAGGGAGGGAGGGATGGAGGTAGGGAGGGAGAGAGGGGTGGAGGGAGGGAGGGAGGGGAGGGGAGGGAGGGAGGGAGGAGGAGAGGAGGAAGGAGAGGAGGGGAGGGAGGGAGGGAGGAGGGAAGGAGGGAGGGACCTTCCTGGTGACCTTCCTGGTGACCTCCCGTGGCCTGGGGCAGGGGCGCGTCGCCCGCAGGCGCGGTGAGGCTTTTCACGCACGCCCTGGGACGGCCCTCACACGCCTAGCCGTGGTGGCCACCCACTGCAAAGGTCAGTGGGCGCCGCGGCTGCGGAGCAAGGGAGGGAGGGAGGGAGAAGGAGAAGGAGGACGGGAGGGAGAGAGGGAGGAAGAGGGATGGAAGGAAGGAGGGAGGAAGGCAGGGGAGGGAGGGAGGGAGGGAGGGAGGGAGGAGAGGGAGGAGGAGGAGGAGGAGGAAGAGGAGGAGGAGGAGGGGGAGGAGGGGGAGGAAGCCCAGACCTCCTAAGAGCCGATATTTTCTGGCCGCCAGCCGGGGCTCCCCGGGACGGCCCCAGGCCTCCCCTCGGATCTTGGCGTTGCTCTTTTTGCGCAACGGGCGTTCTCAGCCGCCTTCGGGCCCCCGGGACCCTCACAGATCGATCCGAAAAATGACGCAGACAGGTGGGGTCCCGGGATCCCGTCGCGATGTTTTGCGATGTTGCAGTTTTGTTTCGCAACGTCGATCGTATGTGAGGGTCCCCGGAGACCGAACGTCCCAGACACAAGGGGCGGGCGCCTCCGGGCAGTTTGGTGGAGGTGGCGAGCCTCTCGGGGCTGAGGCCTGCCCCCCCACCCCACCCCCGGCCGGCCGCGCCCGCAGGATGGGCCGCGACAGCCCGCCTCCGGCGCTGGAGGAGTACTTCGCCAAGTGCCTGGAGTCGGTGCCCCGCTTCCTGCCGCTGCAGCTCGGCGTCTGCTGCGCGAGGCAGCGGCCAGCACCGTCACCCGGTGCCGGCGGCTCCGCGTGTGGCGCCTGGGAGCTGCGCAGCCACGAGTTCAACCTGTGGCCCGGGCCGGGCCGGCGCGTCTTCAGCGCGGACATGGAGTCTTTGAAGTTCCTCCGCCAGCACGGCTTCGACTTCAACGCCTTCCTCGAGCAGGCGCACCCGTTCGTCCGCCTGCCACAGAAGGCCGAGGCAGGGGGCGCCGAGCCCGGCGCGTCGAAGAGCGACCTCGGGCCGCCGGCCTGCGCGACCCGGGTGCTGGAGGCGATGCGGCGCACTCGGGTGCCCGTGGTGGTGCACAACGGATTTCAGGAGGGAAAAAAACACACAGACACAATTAATCGTCGACCCCCAGGAAAATATAGGAAAATATGGCAAGTGGGGGGGAAGACAGAAACCCAGAAAATATGGGAAAATATGGGGCATCTTTTTATTTGTGTGTATTTATTTGTTGTGTGTCCTGGGGCCCCTTCAGGATTGCTGGACCTCCTGCACCTCTACGACAAGTTCGTGGCCGACCTCCCGGGCGACTCCCGGGCGTTTGGCGGGGCGTGGCTCGCCAACTTCCCCCTGCTCTTTGACACGCGGCTGGTCGCGCAGGAAGGCCGGGGCAGGCAGTTCTCGATGCTGGGCAGCAGCCTCACGCTGGAGCTCAGGAGGAAAAGAAGCACACAGACATCGCAGGCGATTTCTCTCCCCCGATCCCCGACTTCCGCCAGAAAAGTTTGGTCGCTCAGAAAAGGGGAGGAATCTTGGGATACATCCCGAGGGGGCTATTCGGACGCACCCCTGTCGAGGATGGACGCCCCCCCCTCGTATATCCCAGGGTTGGGCCCCAAATTGTTGATCCTCTCGAAAACCTCACGGAGCCTGGGATAGGGGTCGACGCATCCCCTGTTAAGACACAATTGATCGTCGATTCCCCAGAACATCTTCGAAAATATGGGAAGTGGGGGGAAGGCAGAAACCCAGAAAATATAGGAAAATAGGGGGAATCTTTTTATGTGTGTGTATTTATTTGTGTGTTTGTGGGCCCCTTCAGGAGCAGCTGCACAGGCACCTGGCCAGCCTCCCGGAGCTGGCCGTGCGCTTCGAGCGGTGCGGGCCGCTGGACGGCGCGAGGGGCGCGCACGGCTCCTCTGGCTACGACGCGACGCTGACGGCGGAGGCTCAGGAGGGGAAAAGCACACAGACACAATTAATCGTCGATTCCCCAGAAAATATAGGAAAATATGGGAAGTGGGGGGGAAGACAAAAACCCAGAAAATATGGGAAACTATGGGGAATCTTTTTATTTGTGTGGATTTATTTGTGTGTCCTGGGGCCCCTTCAGAGGTGTTCATCATGGAGGTGGACGCGTGGCTTCGGCACGAGGACTCGCAGAGCAGGAAGCGGCGGCGGACCTCGGCCTCGGCGGCGGATGCCGGCGCCTGCGCTGGCGAGGGCGAAGGCGCCGCGGCTGGCGGCAGCGTCGGGGGCAGCGACAGGCGGGGATAGGCAGAAGGGGGGATGCATCGACCCCGATTGGTTGGTACATCGGCGATGCAACGACGATGCATCGTCATGATGTCAGGGCGATGCATCGACGATGTGTGGACGATACCTGGGGCGGCCTGCATCGAGGATGTGTCGACGATGCATGGGCGATGCATCCGCCGTGCGAGGCCGATGCCCCCCCCTGTGCCAATCGCCCCCTCATCGCTGCCCTCACAGCGAGGCGCCGGGAGATGGCGGCGAGGAGGCCGGCGGTTGGACCGTGGTCGGCGGCGGGCGCAAGAGGCACCGAGGCGGCGCCCCCACCGAGGGGCCCGCCGCGCTCGGGCTCGCCTCGGCGGCCCTGCTGGAGAGCCACCCGGCGTGCCAGCGCCTCCGCAACCGCCTCGCCATCTGACAGGGGATCTGTCGACCCCCGTCCTCGACCTCGGTGGGTCCTCACACGGACCCGACGTCTGGGGCCCAGCTCCCTGGGGTGCGTACACGATCGGGGGCGCCCGTCCTCCACCTGGGGGTGTGTCCGGCTAGAGCCCCCCCTGGGGGTGCACACCCGAGCTCCACACCCTGCCCGAGCGGCTCGAGCTTCGTTCGAGGAACAATGTCGGGGGCTGGGGGCGAGACATCGCCTGCGACCGTCGTCGGGGCCAGCGCGACGCACCTGCACCTCGCGGAGCTCCCGGGCGCAGGTGCCCGGCAGCTTCCGGGCGCTCCCGGCGGCTGAGGCCCGGCGGCCTCGCCTCGAGCGGCTCCGTGCTGGCGGCTGCGGCCCCAGACCCCCGACGTCATGATTTTTTCATGACGCGACCCCGAGAGTCAGCATCGTTTATCCGACCCCCATCCCCATCCTCATCCCCTTCGAGACCCCCACCAAATTACCACCCCAGTTGGGGATACACCCGTCGAAACCCGAAGGGAACGGTCTATATCCCCATCTGGGGGGGCAAATCGGCCAGTGGGACCCAGGCCACGCCGCTGGGGATGGGGATCGGTTAAACGATACTCAGAGAGGTCCCGACCTATTCGCCGGGACCAGTTTTCCATCCTGAGTCGTGTTTTGACGGTCCCGAGGCCCGGCGAGGGCCCCCAGAGGCCGAAAATAGCGAAAAAAACCTCCCGTCGTGATTATTTTCTCACGGCGCGAGGGGGTCTGCGGAGGCGGGCTGCCCGCGCACCTGGCGCAGGGCCCGCGGGGTCGCGGCCACGCCCGCCGCCGGCGCGGGCGCAGCGGCGGGGCCCCAGAGGCGCCGCGGGGGCCAGGCGCGCAGCGGGCGCGGAGTCCGTCGCGCGCGCGGCTGCCCTCGCGGACAGAGCCGCAGGCGAGGAGGAGGAGGAGGAGGAGGAAGAGGAGGAGGAGGAGGAGGAGGAGGAGGAAGAGGCGGGGGAGGAGGAGGAGGAGGATGCGAGGAGGAGGACGCGAGGAGGAGGACGCGAGGAGGAGGAGGAGGAAGAGGAAGAGGAGGAGGAGGAGGAGGACGCGAGGAGGAGGAGGATACGAGGAGGAGGACGCGAGGAGGAGGACGCGAGGAGGAGGACGCGAGGAGGAGGACGGAGTAGGGAGGGGAGGAGGAGGTGGACGGGCAGCAGCCGGTTGGGGTGTGGAGGTGGAAGCGTTGGGGAATGGATTGCCGTTGGGCGCTTTTCTCTACGCCCCTGTGGGATTTGTTCTGCTTTCCCACCAGTCGTTGCCCTCCTGTTCCTCTTGCGCAGAGGTTGCTCGTATATTCATGTTGTTCAGAGGAGCGAGAGCTCATGAGAATGATACGTCCCAATATTTCCATGGTTTCCATGACTCCCCATCTTTCCTCATGTTCCGCACCGGCTGCGTCGCTAGAACTTTGGAAATCCTGGAATGCATCCAGATAAAATATTTTCCGACACCATTATCGCCGTAAGTGTGATCACGCACGTGGGCTCCTCCTTTGTTATTGCAGCACGAGCGCTAAGACGCAAATGCCACCTCGCCAAAGCATAGCTCATGTTCGACTCCTCCCATTCGATTCGGTCCGATGTCGATGGCTGCCGATTCGGCTTCGAGTGGACCTCGGATTCCGATTCGGGCTCCGACGTCTCAGCGGAGGCCTCACTGGCCTGCCGATTTCCGCCGAGTCGACTTCTCCCGACGCGACTGCCGAGCTCCGCAGTTCCGACTCACTCCGATGGCCGAGCCGACCTACAGTGGAGACCCATGCCGAGAAGCACCCTGCTTTTCCTCCAGGGTGCCCTGGGCTTCTTGCGTTTCGATGGTTTTGCTATGGCGGCGGCGTCGCCGATGCGCCGCCGACGTCGCCGATGCATCGCTGATGCATCGGCGATGCGGCGCGGTCCTCCGACCCCATCTGCCTCGAAATCTACCGTCAAACCCGCATAGTAGGATGGGCAGCCTTCCCAAGCGCAGCCTTGCGTCCTGGCCTCCTCGGTCCATCCTTGGCCACTTTTTGCTGGCCGCGCCCCGCTTGAGAAGCCTCGGAATGTGCGTCCAAGGCCCTTGCGCATCCTTATCGCGCGTCCTTATGATATGGGCCGACTGTAGACGCAAGGCTATTGTACTCCAGATTTCGTAATAAAGGGAGGGGGGTCTCATTTCGGGGGGGGGTCTCTTCCAGGCTATCTTGGAGGGCCTGGGGGGTCTGGGGACGATGCTTTGGAGGGTTCTCCCACGGGGGAGGTCTGAAATGGCTTGTCTTGGAGGGTCCAGACCACCTCCCTTTTATTACGAAATCTGGAGTAAATGTTCGCTGGAGCGACCTGTGGCGCTGGCAGAAAGGGTCCCCCCCCGATCGCGGGGCGCGAAGCGGTCATTGGCAGCGGTCTGCCTGCGCGCTCGGGTTTGGCCCCCCCCCCACCCCACCCCCCACCCCACCCCGTGAAGCCGCGCACCGAGGAGGAGGAGGAGGAAGAGGGAGGAGGGAGGAGGAGGAGGAGGAGGGGAGGAGGAGGAGGAGGAGGAGGAGGAGGAGGAGGAGGAGGAGGAGGGAGGAGGGAGGAGGAGGAGGGAGGAGGAGGAGGAGGAGGAGGAGGAGGAGGAGGAGGAGGAGGAGGAGGAGGAGGAGGAGGAGGAGGAGGAGGAGGAGGAGGAGGAGGAGGAGGAGGAGGAGGAGGAGGAGGAGGAGGAGGGAGGAGGAGGAGGAGGGAGGGAGGGGGAGGAGGAGGGGAGGAGGAGGGAGGAGGAGGAGGAGGGAGGAGAGGAGGAGGAGGAGGAGGGAGGAGGGAGGAGGAGGAGGAGGAGGAGGAGGAGGAGGAGGAGGAGGAGGAGGAGGAGGAGGAGACTCTTGTCCATGGCCGCTCATTGCGTGGAGCCGAGGGGGACGTATGATACACCGCTCGTGGGCCCATCGGAGGGGCCCGGCCAGGCTCGGCAAGTTAGGCGGCCGGTGGACGTCCCCCGAAGAAGCTGTTGCGATGCCTCGGATGGCGTGATGTTTTGGCCCCCGCCCCACAGGTCAGGAGGAAAAACACCGACACAACTAATCGTCGACTCCCAGAAAAAATATGGGAAAATATGTGAAGTGGGAGGGAAAACGAAGACTTGAAAAATATGGGAAAATAGGGGAATCCTGACATTTGTGTCTACTTGTTTGTGTGCCCCTGGGCCCCTTTGACAGGGGCGTGTGCAAACAGGCGCTTCCGTGCAGGGTCGGCGCGATCGGCCGCCAGAGGCGGCGGCATCGGCCTCATGTTTCGGGGGTGCATCCCCGATCCGTGGATCGGGGATCCTCCTGGCGGGTTTCCGGCGGGTTGCGGTGCTACCCAGATTCCAACGTGACCTCGGCCTCGCTGGCTTCTGGTCACAATTCATTGCATCACAGTCTCCACCGTCGGGGGCTCCTGGGAGGTCGGGCGGAGTGCGGTCCCCCGCGCAGATCCACATGAGGCTTCGCCCTCCCTGGGCGCTGCCAACTGCGCAACAGTCTCCACTTCCGTGAGCTCCTGGGAGGTCCAGCGGAGTGCGGTCCCCCACAGGTCAAAATCAGGTTTCGCTCTCCTTGGGCTCTGCCAGCTGTGCAGCAGCTCCACTTTCGTGACCGCTGGGAGGTCCAGCGGAGTGCGATCCCAAACGCGGACCCATCCCATGCCCTTACCATAATGCGAGCAAATAATTAGAAAACGAGGAGGAGGATGAGGAGGAGGAGGAGGAGGAGGAGGAGGGAGGAGGAGGAAGAGGAGGACGCGAGGAGGAGGCGGGGCACGGAGTCGCATCATTCCCTCTCGCTCTCTCTCTTTCTCTCTCTCTCTCTCTCTCTCTCTGCATCTTCCCATTTGTCGGAGGTTGGGGGGTGAGATCGAAGTGGAACGGAGAGCCCCCCTACCGGGAAATCGATTTCGGTTTCGTGTTCGTGCGTGCCGTGCGGGCGAGGCGAAGCTGCGTGGGCGGGCGAGAGGAAAGTCTCCTGTGGCTGAGGCGCGGCCGGACCAAATGATTCTCCGCCGGGCGGCCGGTGGCGCGCGGTGTCCCGCCGGTGTCCCCCGGTGTCCCGTCGGTGTCCCGTCGGTGTCCCGATGATGATGTTGATGATGATTATGATGATGATTATGATGATGATGGTAATGATGATGATGAGATGATGTTGATGATGGCGATGATGATGATGTTGATGTTGATGATGATGATGATGATGATGATGATGATGATGACGTCGATAGTGATATCGATTGTGAGATCGGTAGTGAGACCGAATGAGACAGCGAATGAGGTCTTCTCTCAGGTTCTCCTCCACCACGCACAGTGTTGCGCCGCTTCCGGGGCCGATCCACGGTGCAATGTCGCGCCGCACCGAGGCCCCTGAAGGACGTAGAGAAGGCCCCCGTATCTTGATTATTGTTTCTGGAGAGCCCTGCTCGCGTTCGGGCCCGTGCCATCTGAGTATGGGCAGAGCAAGAGGTAGATCGAAGCTTTCCGCTTAGCGGGGTTCGGCTCAAGCAGGATACCTCGTCCTTGCCGCGCCACTCCCGCACTCGTTTGATCCGCCCAGTACAGGCTAGGCTTTGCCAGCCGCTCTCCCCGAGCGCGCGCCGTTCCTTCGGGCGGCCGCGCGGGCGCCATGGCCGTCCAAGCGTATCTGTTGGAGCACCGCGTCCATAACATGTCGTGGCACACCGTCCTCAATAACCATTCTTCCACGCGCCCGAAGGTGCACGGAGGGCCCGTGGTCAGCTCCGTCAAGAACTGCAAGGAATTCGCTGCGCCAGGCCTTGCCAGTGCAGAGTGGCGGTGCACCCGGACTTTGCCGAACAGCTTTGCAGCGGGAGATGGCCGTCGGGTTGAGGTTACAGGGAAAGGCGCAAGCAAAAACGAAGCGTCGGAGATCGCTTGCCTTCGAGCCGTCGCTTCGCTCATCAGCGGTGCGTCGTTGTCGATCGCCGATTGGCCGCGTTCTGACGAAGATTTGGAGGCGATCTCGGCCGTGGCGACGAGAGGGGATCCAGGAGGCCCCGGCCGCGGGGACACGGTGTACGCCAGGCTTTGCCAGCGCTTCGGTATTCTCTGACTGCATGAGGCACGCTTTCGCTGGGCTTCCAGCCGTTTGCGCTGTTTGAGCAAGGGAAAAAGAGTTATGATGGCGGTACATCGGTCTCGACCGCCGAAGGGCAGCCGTTGATCAATATTTTGAATCGATTTAGTCAGTGGCGACAACAGGGGCTTCAGCAGGCCTCCGACAAAAACTGTCCACTGGCATCGTCAGGAGAACAATCACCACTGTTGCCCAGTGCTCGGCCCCTCCACCCCCCCCAACCTCCTTATCACCCGTAGGGTGGTCGTATAGGTTCATATATAAATATATACATAGTTGTATAGGAGCCCTGCTGTATTCCCGCCCCGTCCTATCCGCAAACGGCGACGTAGTCGCAC